CACGTTTGGTGCATTATAAGTGCATAGTCGTTCTTAAGGGTAGGATGTTTTGTTCGCGTCTTTTAAATTCAACTTGCCAAGTTAATTTTTTTCTACGTGTAATATCTCGAAAGGTTAGATTGATTGACTAATACTGTATATTATTATTTTTCGCAATTATCTGCAGAATAAATTAAAATTTCCACGTAATAGATGTTTCTATGAATTTTATGCATCTATGAAAGAAGACACGCCTCATCGCCATTTTAAAAGTAAGAATTTTACAATTTTACTTGCTTTTTGTAAGTATTTCTATTTTATTTCATTATATATTTACTTTATACAATAGTTAATTTATTATTTCTCTATTTCTACAGATTCTATCTACGATAAATGAGTGAGAAGATTGAAGTTTATTTTAATAATAGTGAAAAAGCAAGTCGTCTCCTATGATGCTTTATCTGTTATCATCTGGGAGACTTGTAGTTAATTAAGGTGAGCATACATACTATATTACACAGGGTTTCCCAAGCAAGCGGGTTTCTTCAATAACTGCTTTATAGTTGAAGATATCAAAAAAAGTTTCTTACAAAAGTGCTACCATATAAGTATCTTCATATCTTAAAATTATTCTATTATATGTAGTGTATGTAGTGTGTTTATTTGATATTAACAGAAATAACGGTTGAACATTACTTTAACTAAGGAAGCTAAACTAACTGTATCTGAATACTTCTTTTTCATTGATTTCATTTTATAGGAACATTAGAAAACACCAGATGCCATTAAATTAAGGAGCATGGAAGTGCCTTTTTTTCTTGGGAATAAAAAGACAGTGTGCTGTTACTGTAGAAAAGATTCATGACAGTGAACTGGTAAGTAACTATCAATTAGAAATAATAAATGAGATCCCAGAAACCTCTATCTCTTAGACATTTCTAACTTGCTTCAATAGACAGTTTTTAAACAATGTGTTTTAGAAAGTCGTAATTATATTTATATTTTACAAACAAATGTATAACACCTAACTAGTAGAACTATAAGTAAAAAACAAAATTTTTTCAGTCTGAAGATGGTTAAATAATCTAAAACGTTACTAAAAACATATAGTTTTGTAGTTATTTGATCTCCAGCCTGAAAAAAAACTACATAACATAATCAATATTAATCGCTCTTTATTAAGCTGTTATGACAATTATCTATTCTCCACAGTATAAATTAACATTATCGTGCTACTATGATATTTACATTAGTTTAACCATGTATTATGCATGTTATTTACTAAGGATGCTTAAATACCGTTTCGTTTTACAGGAAGGTTGGATGAACTCCAGATTCTGTTAAATTATGGGGCAGTGGTTGTCTCGGTCGTCAATCGCTCCAGAAAGTAGCTTTGCCTATGGTCCTAAAAAAAGCATGAAAACACATTTTTCTATTGGGAACGGAGACAGTGTGCTGTTGCTGAAGAAAGGATTTATGACAATGAACTGGTAAGTAACAGTATCAATTAAAAATAGTAAGTGAGCTCCCAGAAACTTCAATTTCTTAGACATTTGTAACTTGCCTCAATAGACAACTTTTAAACAACATTTCAGCATAACATACTTGCTTTAAAAGTGGTAATTGATTACTTTTTTTGCCCGTTTCTATAGATTATCGTAACAAATTAGAAGGAATTGGTGCTACTGAAACAACCGATGCTTTTGATGTTTTCATCTTGCAACATTATGCAGTTAGTTTTGGCCGTGAGAATGGGAGGCAAATGGAAATTAATTAGGAAGCCACTGAAACAACAAATTGTCTGCAGTGATATCTCTCCTAGATTTGTTTTGCTCTGCTCATAATACTGGTAGACTTTGGAACGCTAATTTCTACAGGTAGTCAAGGTGAGAAAACAAGACGTAACTAATATTATGTTAATTAGTA